AGGCCTAGCTAGGCAGTTGTTATTAAGAAAAAAAAAATAAGATTATATATAAACATGTTCAGTTATGCATCCACATATGCAAGGACTTGAAAATACTAACAAGATGTTTATTTGTTCCAGGTTTATGCAATCAATAGTGCTGGTGCAGGGCCAAAAGTTCAGATGAGAATAACTATGGATATCAAAGGTATATACATAAGATGCCTTCCTATAGAATGCTGTTTGCTTAATCAGAGTGATTATAATTTGAATTCCATTCCAGAGTTAAGGATGGAGGCAAGCCTTTAACTGATGTATGTACATATAATAAGCATATATTAAGTAATACTCTATGCGTATTAAAACTATAGTTAAATGTCTAATTTACACAAAATAATTATGTAAATTATCATGTTAAATAAAAATAATGCCCACTTTTTATCTTGTATTTCTTAATTGTAAGCTGAAACTTTTCTCTCTTTTTTGGTCATAATGGAGAATTCAGGGCATTCACACTGAGCTACTACATCCCCAACCCGTACTTCAGAAATTTCCTACATAGAGGCAGTCTTACTGAGTTGCCCATGAACTTGTGGTCCTCCTGCCCTAACATCTGAGAGTACTAGGGTTAGAAGCATGTGTCTCCACACTTGGCTCAAAGATGCATTTTATAGCCTGAATTTTATTTTTAAGAAGAAAACTTGTTTAAATTACCTATGCCTATACTTTAATTAATTCTATTTAGATTTCTTGACTGAGTTATCTTAGAAGTCAAGTTCTTTTCAATTAATCAGTGTTTACTGAATATTGTACATTCAAATTTATGATGCTGACTCTAATTAGGTCTATCAATTCATTATTCTGGCAGGTATTATTTACAGAAAATATAACCAAAATTTGCCTTCCCCCCAAAATGACCCCCAATCCCCCTCCCCCAAAGTAGGAATTTTTGGCCAGTCTTGGTGACTTCTCTTCTGTAGATTTTGTTTTGCTTTGTTTTGGTTTGGTTTTTGTTTTGCTGTTTTGTTTTGTTTGGTATTAGGATGGAACTCAGGGGTTTCACACTGAGCTACACACTCAGCCCTTTTTAAATATTGGGACTGTGTCTTGCTAAGTCTAAATTTCCCAGTCTGAGCTTGAACTCACCATCCTCATGCCTCAGAGTATTCAGAGTATAGGCATGCACCACCATGCCCAGCTTCTTCTAGAGATTGAAATCATGCAATTGATTATATCATCTCTCTAAAAATGTTTAATAAAACTTTCAAAGAGATAACCTCAAAACTGAAGTGTCTGGACCTTTATTAGAATTTCATCCAATGCAGCCTCTTTCTAAAGCAAAAATTAACTATTAATTTTTCTTTCTCTTTTTTTTTTTTTTTTTTTTTGGTACCGGGTATCGAACTCAGATCCATGCACTTGAGCAGCAGGCAGCGAAACCACTGAGTTAAATCCCCGGCCCACTTTTCTCTTTTTATAAGGAAGCAGATTACAGTGGTTAACAGTGCCAGCATTAGGCTAAGTTTAGGGTCAAATTCTTGACATTGAATTCTAGATTGTCTACTTTATAATTATTTGACTTTGGGAAAGTTTCAGAGCCTTTTTAGGCCTGCAGAATGAAGACAATGGTAGTTCCTGCCTACAAGTTATGAGGATTAAGAGATCATCTTTGAAAAAAATTGCAAGATACTACCTGGAAACTTACGCTATTAAGAATAAGAAATATCTAGTTATGTAAAAGTAGGATATTTATCTTTCCATCAATGAATAATTAATGGAACTATAATTCTTTTTATAAGTATTAGTTATTTGATTTTAATTGATAAATTCTATACTTTGAAATATACAAATGCATGAAGTCTTCCAACCATCTGTTAAATAACCTTACAGGCTACAAATGTGTAAGTCACATCTTAATTTCTCTTTGTTATTTATTTTTCTTAATTTCTCTTTTATATTTATTGGCAGACATAATTATATGCTAATAGCAATAGACACATTTTTATGCTTTAGCAAAATTTCCTATTTCTTATACTTTGCCCATTCCCATGTCTAGGTGGTTCTGATTTTCACTCTTTATCTAAAGCAGGGAGACTTATTACTGGAATAGAGAGAATTTATGAGTGTGGTGGCAGTGGTGGGGTCCTAGAGAAATAATGTTTCTCTAGTAAATTGTATGAGTGACATAGAGTGTTTAATTAGTAATAGTTTCATTAAATTTACATTTGATAGATAATAGGAAGTTAGATTTTTAAGAAGTCTTGTACTGGATTCTTCAAACATTTGTTTTTAGATTCCTCGGCATCCCAGAATCCTGGATGAGGCCTGCCTGCCTTCCTGCCTTCCTGCCTTCCTGCCTTCCTGCCTTCCTTCCTTCCTTTCTTCCTTCTTTCCTTCCTTCCTTCCTTTGTTCCTTTCTTGCTTCCTTCCTCCCTTGTTTCCTTTCTTCCCTCCTTCTTACACCTGTGATACCTGTTATCTGTGGTCTAAAGGCTCTTTCCACCTACTGCTACTCTGTTCCCCTTTATTCTTTGCAGATATTTCCCCAATAAACCCTTGTTCATCAAATCTCATTTTAGCCTTTACTTGTCAGAATATCAAACTGTTATGTCGAATAAAAAATTGCAAGATGGATGCTGCTATGATCAGAATAGAATTTAGTGATCTATCTAAAGGTAGTAAAAAGAATGAAAAAAATATACTAAAATATTAGTTAAATGTAAATATTTTATTTATTTATAAAAATCATATATGAGTGAGAGTATATATATATATATAAAATGAATGTTTTAACATGTGAAGAGGAGTCAGATACCTGAAAATCATACTTGGGCTCAATTTTTTTTAGGTAAATCTAAAATACATAATTTACCTTCAGGAGATAATAATTGCTAAATATCTGCTCTATCCAGACACATTTGTGTTTCATCTGTTACATGTGTTTGTTATCACTTTATTTTAAATTATCATTATAAAATGAAAAATTGAGTATTGTTCTACTATTCAGGAACAAAAAATCAGTTATAGCAATATTTCTTAATTACAGCTCCAGCACGTCCAAAAACCAAACCAACCCCTATTTATGATGCCACAGGAAAACTACTTGTGACTTCAACAACAATTACAATCAGAATGCCAATATGTTACTATAGTGATGATCATGGACCAATCAAAAATGTACAAGTGCTTGTGACAGAAACAGGAGGTATCAAATCTCCATTTATGTTGTTAATCTGTAGAATGTGAATTTCTGAAGGCCAAAGGACTTTCAATTCAAATTAGTAAATTTGGTTGACTCCTGATTATCACACAAATCTCGAGATTACTATATTGCCAATACTGTCTTTATTTTTTCTTTTTTGGTACCGGGGATCGAACTTGGGACCTTGCACTTGCAAGGCAGGCTCTGGAACCACTGAGCTAAATCCCCAGCACCCCAATACTGTCTTTAATTATACCAATCATTTATTTATACTTAAAATATTTTAAGAAAATGAGAAAAGGCATAGTTAAATTATATGATTAATTTACTCCCCATACTAGTATGATTGTTTTGATTTTGACAAGATGGAGCCCTGATAGCTTCCTTGAAGGCATAAACAGACAACAACCCTGAGGAATGTTCTTTGTCCATCTAAAAAAGTCGTCCTTTAAAACATTGCATAGATTTGTATATGATAAAGAAGGACAGGGTTACTTGTGTAGCCAAGTAGATCTGCTGAATTATCCCAAGTGGCTCATAGAGTGGCTGATATTGCATCCAAATTCCCCCAATACAATTATAAAAGTACTCTTTATAAATGTAAAATTCATTTATATGTTACTTGTAATCATTATTCTCTTCTTCCCCTGAAAATAGCTCAGAGTGATGGAAATGTAACCAAGTGGTATGATGCATATTTTAATAAAGCAAGGCCATATTTTACAAATGAAGGCTTCCCTAATCCTCCATGTATAGAAGGAAAGACAAAGTTCAGTGGCAATGAAGAAATCTATGTGATAGGTGCTGATACTGCATGTATGATTTCTGGCAATGAAGAAAAAATTTGCAATGGACCTCTAAAGCCAAAAAAGCAGTATTTGTAAGTATAGTTTATGCTAAGCATGCACTGTGTTAGCTAGCTTGTTAATTTCTTTCATCCATTCATCTAACCCATCATTATCTTTTCAATCAGCTCTGGATATTTATCGTGTATAGTAACCCTTAAATTTTAGTTACTAGGAATGGAAATATAAACAAGATATCCTTCATTCCCTAGACATAAAGCATTGTAGGGGAAGCATACAAGCTTCCTAGAAATTATGATTTGATATAAGTTACATAAGCTCAATATGAAAAATGTGCCATTGGAGAACATAGTAGGTAGGACAATTTAATTTTTCTGAAGAAACAAATGTGACTAATGTGTTTTTTACTTATCATTTTTCCATTCAAATTATTGTATAGGTTTTCAGAAACACTATCATAATTTCAGCTAATGATGGTTTCCTTTCTATGTCACTCATAGCAATAATTCTTTGCAGCTTATCCCATCAAATATCTGAATACATGACCAGAATCTTTTCTACTTACTTCATCATTTTTGAATTTTGTATCATTTAATAGCAATATATTAAAAATAAATGCTGATAGTTTGGCTTTATTGAATTCTTTGCCAAATTGTTCTATTGAGTTGATTATACAAGTATTATTTTTATATTGTAAGCCCACAATTTTTAAAACAATGATCTTAGCCTTGTTTGATTTTCAAAATGCAATTTTATTATTAATTTTTAAAATGCATGGTTTTTTTTGCCTTCTAGTTAAAGCACTGTTAAGTTCTTTATAAATGTCCCAAGCCAAGTAAGCATTTGAAAAGTTAGGGAAATTAGGTAATTAAAACTAGCATCTTATTATTTATTGTTAGTTACAATTACTTTGGCTCAAATTCTAGGTTATTGCTTGAATTAAACGTGACAATTTTGAAAATAATATATCAGAAATTTTCATATTTTTATTTTTCATCCTTGTTTCCCAGCCAGACTCTTTCTATAGCAAATACAATAACAAGAACTTGATAATGTTAGAGATAATGATAATGATAAATCATGTATTATAATTTATAGATTAAATTTGTAATGCCCTGATGTCTTTACATTTTGGTGGTTTTTTGGAGATGAAACTGATCTTGAATATTTTTATTCATAAAAGTCTGGAGTATATGATATTACATTCATCTTAGGGCATGTGTAGAAGTACTGAGCATATTTTGATTCTTTTTATTCCTGTAGACAAAGTTCATTAGTCCTTTAGGATACTTAGAATCACTCATTTATTTTTAAGCTTCATTCTTTTGTGTATTTTTTATTTCAAATATTATAAATGCATAAAATGGGCAAATATGACTGTGTACACACAGAAAGAAGATAAGTTGTTTGTTTTCATGTAAATGAGACAAGTTCCATATGATCATCGTAATCTAATTCACTAGCACTTCTAAAGATGGTTGAAGTAATAACAATTATTATGCTTTGTATTTGTTAAGTATATTAGTATTGGACATTTTCACAGATATGTAATCATTCCATCCAAATAAATCTATGAGAGAGATGATTACTGCATTTGCTTCAACTGATGACTGTTTATGAGTGTGACCAAATTTTTTAGTCACTGACCTGTTAAATTCATTATGCCCAGAGCAAGACAATGAATTTATTCATTTCATGCAAATATAATATAAATTTGTCCTGATTGTGGTTTAATTTCAAAATTTACATCTCCTAAATTCATTTTTTGAATAAAATTTTCATAACTGTTTGTTAAATTATTTGTAGAAAAAAGTAATGTGATTTGCAAATTGTTGACATTTCTTTTATTTGATCTTATAGGTTTAAATTTAGAGCCACAAATGTCATGGGACAATTTACTGACTCTGACTACTCTGACCCTGTTAAGACTTTAGGTAAGGCATATTTTGTAAATTATTTTATTCTTTAATCTTAACATGTTTATATCGCTGGAACATTTATTAAATATTTAGTAGATACATTATTCTGGATAATAATGACTGGCTATTCTTAAATACAAATTCATTTTATGGTTAATTATCCTGACTAAGGAAAAAATAATATTTTTAATATTCTTCTAAAAGATGGATACTCCTTCAATTCAAATTTGAATATGGATTTTGTTAGATATGGGATCTCTTCTGACATCTGATAACATTATCCAAAATAAATATTTACTTAGCTTTTAAATATACAATTTTATATGTAAACCAGTGTTACCTAATAAAAGAGAGAGTGGCTTATGGAAATTTTCTTTTTTATAATTTTAAAAAGTAGAAGCTTGCAAGTCCCGTTTAATATATATTCTTTCATTCTTCTCTTGTATGAGTGTCTTCAATTATGTTCACATAAATTAAGCCTAAAAAATACACAAATTCAATTCGGTTACATATATAATATGTATATATGTGTAAAATATATTATATATCATAACCACCACTATCATCATAATCATATCTAATTTAAATATGTGACAGATAAAATTCTAGCTTCTTCTCAGTCATTAACTGGTGAAGTCTTCACAACTATCCTTTCTTTGGGTCAGTGTTTCTCAGCCAGGATGGAAGCTGTGCCTGTGGGGCCATTTGAGAGTTGTCTGAAGCCATATTTTGTTGTGATGCCTGAGTAGTGACTGTGGGAGTGGTGGAAGTGATGAATACTACTGGCATCTGCTGGGCAAAGGTTACGAGTGCTGCTGAATCTCCCCAATGGACCAGACACTAATAATGCTGATAATGCTGAGGATGAGAGACTGAATTAAGAGCTAATGTTTTCTCTGCTTTGCAGATGAGGATGCTCAGGCTTAAAGTGTTTAAGCAATTAAATATACGGTCCAGGAATCCAGCTTAGTATCATAGCAATCCCAAGCCACTATATTACAAATACAAGATTGAGATCTGGATTCAAATCTTGGCTCTGCCATTTGAAAAACAAATACTTTTTGTAATCTCTTTTTCTTTATTTGAAAAATGGAAATGGAACCCTTCTCTGAAGCGTTGCTGAAAGGCTTGGATAAAACAATATAAGTAAATATATTAATAATTTATACTTAGCAAATTTTTAAACACTTCATAGCTTCTATTGGATAGGTCATATTCAAATATTTTAGAAATATCCTTACATTGGAGAAATTATTTCTCTAGAATTTCACTAAGCAGATTAAAAACTTCCTATTTCTTTTGCACCAACCCCTCAAATCCCCCAATATATCCATCTACTGTACCTTAAGGAACCAAGAGAATACTCCATCTCTCAATACCACTTGAAGATGTGGGATTGTGCCATTGCTCAGGTCCTAGTGAGCTCTTTTTCAGTATATAATGAGCTATTATAGATTTGACTGCGGAAAGACAGAGTAGTCTACCATTTTCAGGCAGAAAGTCTATCAAGTTGTGGAAATATTAACTTATAAACAGCCAGCTTCTGTAGCCTCTAAATGGGGAAACTGCAGCTTCAAAAAGTAAAGAAGAAACTTGTGGTTTGCCTTACAAATATTTGTAGAGGAATAAAAATTAATTCATTTGGTTAAACTAATTCCAATCATTTGCTTGATTAATTTTGCCCAATAACATAATCATTTTAAAGCTAGATGATTAGCTTTGCAGTTTTACAATTTTGGTGAGTATTTCTTCGTTTGATAAGTGAGTCCACCACACCCTGCTACCACATAGTAAAGTACATATCTGTAGGTTTCAGCATACAGAAACCATTACTGCAGCTAATAGTGACCCCAGTGCACTTTTTAATGAAAGATAAGAGACACAAACAAGATGGATAAGTACTGTGCCAGAGGAAGATAATACTTTATAGGAGCAGTGCTGAAAGAGGGCTAGACTTGCTGCACTGGGTATCATGTGCTTTGTTTCTCATAAGCTTGCTGGTTCCATATAGATTATCAATGGAAGGACATGCTTGGGCCACTTATCTGAGAGGTAAAGTTGAGACATTCAGGGTAACAGAGAGAGAGCCAAAAGTCAGGAACCATGGTATCCTGAGGCATGAGTCCTTAGACTCTGCCAAATTCCATCCCTCTGTCCAAAGTTGGGCTTCATACAGCACTGTAGTCTCAAGATGCTCTTCAGCAGTGGCCTTCTCTTTCTTTCCTTGTCTCACAGCCAAGGGAGTGGAATAAGACAACCAATTCTAGAAAGGAGCAAAATATACAATCAGTTCTCAGGTTCCTACCTTGGAATCATAACCACTGACACCTCAGTTGTCTACTTGCTACTGCTTGTGTGTCATGGTAACAACAGGAATCTAGAATGTGTGGGAGGTATGGAGTGAAGTGCAGAGCACAAGGTCCTGTGAAGGCTAGAGAAACAGGGACTGGTGAACTATAGACCGGACATAGCAGGGAGAAAACCATTGGGCTGGTGAGGGAGAGAAAGGGAGTGTTCCACGTATCTACTACCAGATTCCTCAGAGTTCAGTATATGTTATTTGTAGACCAGTGAGATATGTATCACCTTTTGGGGTCCCCTTTCTACTGGCCTTCTCAGAACTTTCTCTTAACAGCAGCTTTGAAACTGGCGTTTGCCCTTTAATGCTTATTTAGCCAGTAAAACAGTGACAAATAGGAAAGAGAGACATTAGTACAAGCTGTGGTGTCAAAATAATTGTTGGCAAAAGAACATTACCAGAAAAGACAAAGGCTAAATCCTCAGAAAGGAAATAAAGTTGACCATTTCTGCAATGTGCAAAAGTCCATGGGAAGAATTGTATCATAGCTGTAAGGGACAAACATCTCATAGCTGTAATGGGGACAAACAAAAAAATAAAGTAATTGATATAATACATGTAGTGTCATCAGAAGATGATGAAAGATGATTAAGTCTTTTCTCCCATCAAATATGTCACGTGTTAGGTCTCAATATTCCTTGTTGGGCCACTAAAGACTTAAGTACACACTGAATCCTGGGCTTCAGTGAAAGAAGTCTAAATCCTGTCTGGGTCTGCAAACCACCAGTGGATAAGCATTCATTCACTGGCATTTTGCACACCACAAGCAACAAGCTGAGTTGGTTGTTGATTAAAACTTCAGGACTTGAAAGCTTTGACAAGTCTGTATTTCTGCAGACCATTTTGGTGATAGTGATCCCTTTCAGAGGTGTCATTATATGGAATTAAAATAGGGATAACAGAACCAGCATAGATTTTTTTTTTTTTTTTTTTTTTTGTACCGGGGATTGAACTCAGGACTTTGCACTTGCTAGGCAGGCGGCGGCACCACTGAGCTAAATCTCCAGTCCGCACCATAGATTTTTAAAGTTTTATGTTCAGTGAAAGGAATTAACTAAAGTGAGAGGGGAATGTGCAGGGCTTTACTGGATAAGGATGAGTCTGCAGAAGAGGAGTTTGCACCTACAGAAATGTTTATGGCCTGTAAGAATAAACAGAGGAAATGACATAGGCATCATTTTAATCCTAAAAATATACTTACAATTTATGTGATTTTATTTTCAGTTAAGATTGAACATTGCATTTTATTAACATAATTCACAAGAACCCCTCTTAAACTCTTTTTTAAAGATCCTCTTTAGGCACATCAGTTTATGGAAACTGCTTGTAGGCAATGTTTTGATTACAAGGCTTAATTATAGAGGATTCCTGTGATTTGAAAACCAGATACCCTTTCTGCACCTTACAGGGATCTCATTAAAGCTGAACAAGATGAAACTTTAAACCCTATGGCAAAGGCACTCTGTGATTGTTTTCTTTTGTCATAACACTTCTCATTTCGTTACTATGCTAACAGTGAAATGTTTCAATAGATTCACTTAGGAAAAGGGACTTGCTCTGTATCATTTGCAGCTAAAGGCTCACTTTCTCCAAGGGACCAGAGGAGAAGTCTTGTTTTTTTTTTTTTTTTTTAATAAGGCAGCAGTAGTGCAGTGGAGGACCTCACAACTCTGTAGTCCAACAGGTATATTTTAGGTAGTTTTAGTATATATTAAATTTATATGACTTTGGATTACTTAAAATATTTTTTAAATTCTGAAATATTATTTATAAAATGAGAATATAAATACATATCTTATAAGCTAACTTGAAAATTGATTCAGATGAGTAAGTGAGTGCATTAATATGAAAGTCACTAATAAAGATATCTGACATTGTGTATACTCCATGCCTTTTAAGTGTTTTTTACATACACATTCTTCAGTGTAACTCAATAGGATGACTCTCTTTTCATATATAGTCTCAATTCGTAGGTAAGAAATCTGAAGCACTGTGTTTCTAAACAATTCGCCTGAGGTTTTGATGATAAAGGTGGTGGCAGAAGCAATCTTCAACCCAGGGAACATGAATCCAGTCAGTGCTGTTCTTATAACCTTTCTGCCACACTGCCTAAAAATCACGAAGTGCCAGGCAGCTTCAGTTGGATTACTGTCGAGGATGGCTCTGCTCCAACAGGCTTCCTGTCCTTGCTGTACCACTCTCCTCAATATTTTTATTATTTCCAGTATGTTTGAGGTTAATATTTTTATTGAGGTTAACATTCATAAATCATCATGTTTTGTTTTGCTTACAAAAGTATGGTATTTTCTTTTTATTTTTTAAACAATGGATATGAGTAACTTTTTCCCACACTGTGTAAACATTGTTCATTATCTACTTTTAGAGTTTGGCAATTTGAATGAAAATGACACCTGCTTAGGCATTTTAATTTATATTTTT